TTACAGAACAATTTTTCCCAGGGAATCCACTTTACTTTATGGTATCCAATCATTCGTAGGAATAAACATTCTGAATATATACTTCTTAAAAGTAGAAATTAAAAACAGTAAACATGACGGAACTTTTTTGCTGCACACACTGACAAAATGCTTTAAAAATACTTTAAAATAAATAACAGTAACCTTATGACATCACTACAAGTGATAAATTTCCATTTGTGTACTGAATGTGCAGTATTTAACACCCCCTTGTCAGAATCTTAGGACCCTGAACAGATAATGTGTACAAAAACAACAAAATCTGTAACACTCTACAATGAGGTCCCATTAGTTAACGTTAGTTAGTGCATTAGCTAACATTAACTAATAATGAACAATACATTTGTCATTGTCAAGTATTCATTAATCCTTGTTAACATTAGTTCATAAATGTTAATTGTTAGTTCATGTTAGCTTATAGGTCCAATAGATAATATTAACAGATATAACATATATAATGAATTATTAAATGTTAGTAAATTAACATTAACTAAGATTACTAAATGCAGTTTTTATTGATAGTTCATGTTAACAAATGTATACATGTTAACAAATGGAACCTTACTGTAAAATGTAAAAAAAAACAAAAAAAAAACATCATTTACTCACCCCTCAAGTTGTTCCAAATGAATCCTTCTGCTGAACACAAAATATATTTTGAAGAATATGGGTAACCAACAGTTTCTGAATTAACATAGTATGGGGAAAAAAATACTATGGAATGCAACGGGGACCAGAAACTGTTTGGTAATGCATTTTGAAGAATATGGGTAACCAGACAGTTGCTGGTAGCCACTGATTTCCATAGTATGAAAAAAAAAATACTATGGAAGGCAATGGGGACCAGAAACTGTTTTGGCTACCCACATTCTTCAAAATATCTTTTGTGTTCAGAAGAAGAAAGAAATTCATACATGTATGGAACAACTTGAGGGTGAGTAAAGGGAGACAGAATTTTCATCTTTAGGTGAACTAAGATTAATAGAAATACTATTTTTTTAAACGTGTTTCCTAAATGTAATGGCAAAGTAGAAAATACTAAGCTGAGCTGCCTGTTTGGCTGAACGTTGTCTGAAAGAGAAAGACTGCTCTGGTAGGGAGCAGCAATGCGTGACACAGGAGAGGCTATGGTGGGCGCACTTGTCCCGGGGCTACGGCCACACTCAGATCTTTGTTGCGTTCGCTCTGCGTGAGACGAGGCAGAGGCACTTTCCAGAGAGAGAGAGAGAGAGAGAGAGAGAGAGAGGTATTAGTTTTACTCTACCCACTGCTTCCCACTCCAGCTGCATGACTAGCACCGCAGGAGTGCCCCAGAAGACTGCCCGAAAAAAGAAATGCCAGAGAGCGAATAGAGAAAGATGTCCGATTTCGCAGGCGCTCAGGAATGTTGCGAGCTGTGTGAGATTTCCAAACAAACACCGAAGTGCCGCTCTCTCCTTTCTGCCCCGAGGCACAGCCCAGCTCTCCTTTACATGCTCACCTCCCACCGCCGCCTCAGCAGAACAAGCTTCCCATCAGTCTGGATGATCTGTTTCGCTAATGCGTCCATTCTTTAGTTGTTTTTTAAATTGCAGTGCTGTTTAACGCATCTCTGTTTGTTTCTGGACTGTATCCAGCCCCTTTCCCCCCCATCCAAAGTGTCAGATTATGGGACATGCAGTACTTTGACTATCCCTCTGCGTTCAAGAACATATGGTTGTCAGTGAAAAGCTGAGCCTGACAGGATGACACAAAAAAACTGTACTATCTCTCTGCCTTTGACCCAGTAGTACTAGAGTGAGAGCGAGGGACCACAAAGCTCCAACTGAACCCTCATGCACAGAGATCCATCTGAACACTGGCAGGCACCAGTGAATTAGAGGAGGAGAAACTCAAGAGCCAAATGAATAGGATTGTCATATCAGAGGAACAGGTGTGGCCAAATACTGATGTTTTCATAGGAGATGCTGATGAGACAGATCCGCTATGGTACAATGTAAAAATGTTGGCTCTCGTCAGGGATTCTTAAACACGAACCATCAGCCTAACAGCGCATGTCAAGAGTGTCAACCACACAAATTACTATGAAACAATGAACAGATGCATAGTGATGTAGCAAAGAAGGAATCTAGCGTTCTCAAATCATTTAGAGATGAACGTGTATGAGAAAAACCTACAATGAAAGATGACCATCTAGTGGTCATCTGGCTGCATTGCAGACTTAACAGAATAAGTTAAAGGTAAAGTGTTTATCTGTTACTCTCATATATTCAGAAAATGTTTGCTTGTGAATGAGTCATAAGTCTAGAAGTGATTTAGATCTGATGATTATTGTGTAGTAACGTAAGTAACATATGCTTATCAATGTTGCTTAGCGTACCTTAAAGGGTCAGTAAATTATGACAAAGCTGTACTACTTTCTTTCTGTATTACTTTCTTCTGAACACAAAAGGGAATATTTTGAAGAATTCCAGTCTTTTCCATGCAGAAAAAAAGAAAAGCAAATCATATACAACTGCACTGTAAGTCTTCTGATAACATAGCTTAATGTGAGGAGTAACCTGAAAATTATATTTTACATATGTTATACACTACAATTAAAAAAAAAGAAATCAATACTTTTATCCAGCAATGATGCATTAAATTGATCAAACGTGACAGTAAAGACTTTTACAGTGTTACAAAACATTGCTGTTTTAAATAAATGCTGTTTTTTTTTCCATTGCATTACAACTGTTTTTGACAGTTTTCTATATTAAAAAACTTTTCTTGAGCACCAAATCAACGCACTGTATTAAAATGATTTGTGAAGGATCGTGTGACAATGGCTGTTGAAAATTCTGCTTTGATTACATCATAATAATATTAAAATAAAACAGTTATTTTAAGTTGTAATAATATGTTAAAATATAAATGCAGCCTTATTGAGCATAAGAGACATCTTTCGAAAACATTAACAAATCTTACAGACCCCAAACCTTTGAACAGTATTGCATGTGTATATTCAAACTTGGTCCCTCAATGACACCAAATGCCATTTTTACCTGCTTGTCTCATAACCATCAGAATGCAGGTTTAAATTTTAATGGTGAGGAAACAGAATTTAATTTTCGGAATAACTATTTTTTTTAGTAAAAGCTGCCAAATGACAGCTGTTTGGTATTTCTGTCCCGTTCAATGTTTGATAGGTTGGAGCACATAGTGAAAAATACCCATTTCTAATCATTGTTTGAATCTGTACTTAAATGCAAATGTATTCTTTGAACAGCAATACAGTGTATACATCAACTTGAATGAGGTAACAATATTACTGCACTGCTGAATGTGCTGTTTGTGCTTGCATAACTTTAGCCTGCCCTGACCTCTATGGGAAGAATAAGGTATTGCAAAACTCTAGAAATGCAAAAACAGTTCAGCCCCTGAACCAATGGGAGTTCCCTGCAGCTGTGTTTTTCACCAGCAAGAAAAAGCCGCATTCATGTCTTTCCGCAGTGTCAGTTCAAAGCTGACTGCCTGTTGCACATCGTTGGTTCAGCTCTCGGTCAGTGTCGCCCTGGGACATGTAGACATTCAAAAAACGAATGTGGAAAAAAGTAGATAAGGTAACTATATATCTTTTAACACCGCAATATAAAATAAAGCTAATGGCATTATATTAGATGCACCCAAGAGTTGTCCGTTTGAGAATTTGGGTTTCTTCGAATCAACTGAAAGATGATAAAATATGAATATTATATTCAACATAACAGGATAAATGCTACTAATGGTCACGTTCTCACTTCACCATCAGCCTTAGCTGTTTAATGGTTTACTATTACAAAAATTGTGATTTTGTTTTTATTTCTATACCACTTGTGTCTAATAGCCAGTTATCACAATTGTATGTGAAGTACCAATAACTGTAATAAATGGTATTTTATTATAGCTGATACAATGGTTACCGTGGTAATTTTGGTAGACTGTCCATTACCTTGCTGAAAAACAACAGCTTAAAAAAAGCTGGTTTGCTGTTTTTAACTGGTCTGTTGGCCAGTTTTAAAGGGGTTTTGGCTGGTCAGGCTGGAAGACTTTCTTTCTTTCAGCAGAGAATCCTGGTTTGAAAGACAACATAGAAATACCATATTTACTACAATAATTTGTGCAAAATTGTTGTCATATATAATATGCAGTTTTAGTATAGTTGCTCTGTAATATTAATTAATTAATTACTATTTTAATAACTAATTACATCAACAGTGTAATTTGATTACTAATTAATCACTCTAATTCTATTGCATTTCTGATTACTAAAAAAAAAAACTAAATCCCATATCAACCTTGACCAGTTGAACAATATGAAACTGCTTGTAATTATTTCATATGAATTTTCAAATTAATTCTGCCTTTAATTATTTCAAATAAATAATATGCATTTGAATAAATTATTCTTGACCTGGAGTATTTAAAATGAGAAGGTTACATTAACAACATACATTTTAACATTAGACATTTTGACATTAGAAATTTTAAATCCACTATGTTTTATATAGAATTGTTCTATAGTCTATGCAGTATTTAATGCAATTACATCAGAAGTAACTGTAATTAAATTTCAGAAAAATTAGGAGTAATCCCCTACTTGTTCAAGGGGACTTGTTGAAGTAATTGGTAAAAACAATTCTCATTTTTTGCATTCATAATAACTTTTGTTTAAAGATTGAAATACCATAGTTACTACAGCCATATTTTGAAATATTCTGTATATGTTAAATGTCTTTTTATTGACAGTTTTTGGCTAATTCCTAATTCTGTTTTTGTTGAAGTGTCATTAACTATAATTGTGAAAATCATTATTCATAACTCCCATTTAAAAGAGCACAGAAACTTATTTAGAAAAATAAAATTCACCGCTCCCCTTAAAAACGGGTAGGGCGACGATGCCACATGCGGGACACATTCTTACGGACCTGAGTGGCATTTCAACTTGATTATCAGTCATGGTAAAGAGCTAGCTGCGCGTTTTCGGGAAAGCCCTTCACCTCCACCTGATGGCAGCATCACGCAGCCCCTACACACGGGTGCGTGGGAGTTCCCCGCTTCGCCATGTCGGGGTGGTGCAACGCGCTGAAAGGGTCTCCCGAGCGCGCGCGCTCTCTCTCCTTTCTCTCCACCGCCTCTACCCCATCAGCTCCATCCTCCCCCTCACGATAGTCTCAACAGCAGCAGCAGCAGCAGCATCGTCCTCCTCCACCCTCTCTAGGCAGCAGCAGCATCCGGCGGTGAGACACGGAGGAGACGCATCCGAGTGATGCCACTGCACCAACCGCATCTCGCCACCGCGAAAATACGCCAAGCATAAAGCGCTTCTTTTGCGAGGACGGAGAAACACATTCGCCTGGAGACATCCACTGCCCATGAAGATGTCTAACGCTGACATGGTCTTGAACTCCACCGATCGGGTAGTGAAATGTAAGTGTAGGCTACACCCCCCCCTCCGTATTTTACCTGCATCCGTTATTTATGTACTAATTGTTAAAATGTTATCACAGCTAATTAAGACGTATCGATTGCATATATTAATGTGGTCAGTTCATGTTTAGAAAGGCAATGTTTTGAGATAAGAGATCGTTGCGATGATTTTCTCTGCAATGGATTGATGTTAATTGAGTCGTGGGCAGGGGGAGATGTGTTAAATAAGGCAGATCCAGTGGAGGCGGTGATGCAGCAGGATTTAGGTGGCATCACGCAGCCCTCCATGTATTCTTCAGAGACAATGAAGCAATAAGGTTTTCAGTTCATATTTAGCGGTTTGCTTTCTCGAGGAAAGCCTCGAGTCTGCAGGTAAATCGAGCTGGAAACTGTCGCGCCCCCATTGCGTCTGATTGATTTTCGCACATTTACTGGTCACGTAGCGCACATTAATATTCACATGTATCCATAGGAACATAAAAGCAGAGATCACCTAGACTAAATATAAGCCTCAAGGTCTTATATAGAAACTAGACTTAGGTTAATTAAAGGTGCTCTAGGTCAATTTTTACTGAAAAGGTTTAACATGAATGACACTTTCATTGTGAAATAGTATTAAAATAATATATACACAGTCATGAGATGTTTTATTCTACATAGAGGGGGCTCCACTTGGGATCACGTCTTGATACAACTGACCCTGTTACTTATAAAATAATACTTTTGCCAGGATGCTTTACAAAGCATAAATGCAAATGTACATTCTAACAACAACTGACATAACATAAAAACGGAGCTGTGGTGTGGATGAATGAAAAAATAAAAACAAAATGACAACCCAAGCCCAAAAACGAGAAATTTAGAGAAACCTGGGAAAACACACACAAACAGCTTCTGTACTGTCAGCATTTAGTGAGAAAATTTAATGCATCCAGGCCAATAGGTGTCAGTATAAAGTCTAAAACACTAGTATTATTTGGATGAATGAGAGCAGGTACATGTAAACAACCATTTACTTAGTGTACCTTTAATCTTGACAGTAACAAATAGAAAAGAGCTTCAACATTTTAATAGACACATCATTTCTTTTAAATTGGTTAAATTTATGGTGCTGTTGGCTTTCATTGATGCGTTCCGACCCTCTATGACAGCTAATGGGTCACATTTGCACTTTCATGATTTCTCCCTTCTCCTCTCAGGTCCAGTGATGGATATATTATATAATTTGTGATATAAATAACAGATATATTCTTGTAGATATGTGTTTGAATCGCAGACTATATAGGTATTCCGCCTCCTCAAAACAGTGAACCCCCAATGTTAATCTTTTTCTTGTTTTACACAAATTAACACTTCAGCCTAGCCGATTGATTTGAATTGCAATAATCAGTGGGCTTGTGAACTTTTCCAGGAAAACAATTGCCAGGATATTTTAATTTGCATGCTAATGTGGCCACATTTAAATGTGTTTTCTACTGCGTTGATTCGATAAATAGTATTAGCATTTAAAACACTCTTTGTGTCAAAGACATAGTTCACCCAAAAATGAAAATTCTGTCATCATTTACTGTTTAAATCCCATACGATTGTCACAAAAAGCAGATGTTAGGCTGATTTACAGCATAAATGTTATGCATAAACGCACGTATCAACCTGAAGATAGTTTCAGTCATGTTGTTCAGTCCTGATGTGTTGACGTGAGCATTTTTTGGCAGAACATTTGATTTGTATCTGCCTTTGAATGCAGAATCTTATGACAAGGCCCATTATAATTCAGGCTTTGATATAAGTCATCTGACCTCTCTAAAAGTTAAGGTTGCATTAGTAATGAGTCACAGTAGTGACCCCCTCCAACCTCATAGAGGTACTTTAGATCTGGCTGTTTTAGCCGTAATGGCATTCTCTGAACTACCTCTGTCTCCTCTCCCTCCTTATGTATAATTGAGGGCTTTTATCATCAACAAAATGCATCAATAAATAACCACATCTAAAATCCCAGTGATGAGGTTAGCTAAGCATTCATATTTAGCAGAGTGCAGCTCCAAACGCAGGAGACAAACAAAGAATTTGTCTCTCCATAGAATCCCCACAGCAGCAAAGCAGGATTTCATAAAACACTGCATGGTGTGTCATTTGCAGAGTCTCATTTACTAAGTGCAACTAGAGTTAGGCCTGTCATTTCTGCGCTGGCATAATGGATTTTATGGCGTTTTCCATTTAGTGTTTTGATATACTGGTTTATCGCCTCGTCTCATGGGAGCTGTACTAAGCATCACTCTTTGTATGCTAAATCATTATATTGTAGCCACACTGTTAACATTCTCATACTCGTTTCCAGCTTGCTTATAAATCTGTCTTAATGATCCTGGTATGAAGGCAGAAAAACATTTACAGATTTGCAACGGTGAAATGTTTACCATAATCGCGAGCTCCATCTTTCAAAATAAATGTAAAGACAGTAAATAATGTCATTAGTTTTACCATCAGTTCAAGCCC